TTTTTTTTTTAAGAAGTCTCACCAAGGCTGCATTTATTTAATCAAAAATACGACAAAAACAGAATTATTGTGAAATATTCAGTGTCAAACAATCTTTCAGAAATCACTCAAATATATTGCTTTGTTGCTCAAGAAACATTTCTTATTAATATCAAGTTGAAAACAGTTCTGCTGCTTTTTGTGGAAACTGGTGCATTTTTTCAGGATCCTTTGATGAATAGCAAGTTCAAATGAAGAGCATTTATTTGAAATTCAAATAGCTTTTGTAACTTTATAAATCTCTTTTCAGTCACTTTTATTCAATTTAATGTGTCCTAGCTGAATAAAAGTATTAATTTCCTAAATTTCAAACATTTGAACAGTATTCAACTTTTGAGCATTACTGATAAATGGCAATACTTGCATAAAACTGCAGCACCTGGTTCTTAGGCTTTGTAGAAAAATAAAGTTGGACAAGAGAGGTTAAATCAACAGTCAAAGCTCAGCAGGATAACAGAAAACAGAAACAGCTGGAGTGGTTTAGAGTCAACTAAACCCTGCTAAGTGTGTTTTCTGTTTATTATGGATTATTTACAACAAAGTTTTGCCTCCATTCACATGATGATACACTAATTTCAACTGTTTTCGAAGATATAAAGCTGTGCAAGTAAGTGTTCTGAGAAATACTATTCCAACTTTTCTTTGTAAAATAACTATTGGCCAAATTTAGAAGAGTGGAAACAAAGGTCAAAAGTCCAAAAACCCTAAAACCAGTCAAACATCTTTTGTTCAATCTAGTTTAACAACTCATCAAATTAAGATGAACAAAAACGAATTAATAATAGAAAATGACATTTATAGTACCTCAAAGGTATCTGGGACGTGTAGTTTAGGAGAGGGGACGCCCACCAAGTAATCAACCAAGACCATAATCATGATGGTTAGAAAAACTGCAAAGTCACTGATTGAAGAGCGGACCTGGAGAACAGAAACTAAATGTTAGAGTAAATAACACTCTATCAGCACATGATCTGCACATGACTCTACTGACCTTAGTGGGGAAATAGCGCTTGGTCTTGAACTGCTTGAGGAAGGATGACAGGAAGAAAGTGGTGAAGAACAGAATGACAGACCAGAACAATACGTCAGGGATGTACGGGCCATTATGCCCGCAAGCAGGACCCACAAACTCGCCATGGAGTTTCTTGCAATTCTTTAAAAAGAGAGAAAAAATAGCAAGTAATAATTAAAGATATTTGATTTATTTGATATGGATACAAGTGCAACTAAAACTTATTTAAAAAATATATATATTCTAAAAGATTTTTAAACATGTCAAGCTTTGATACAAAAAAACCAACAGAACAAAAAAAAAAAAATTTTACTTTTGTTAAAAGTTCCATATAGGCATTTGATTTAAAAAAAAAAAATGCTGTTAAGAAGTTGTTTCTTTATCATTTACTGATAAACCATAGTCTGACACCTTAACACCTTTAATACTGCCCTTACTCTGACTGTCCACTTTATTCTGATGTCTTTTCAAATTGGACAGATAAAATGAAGTTAATGTGTAATGTCTTTAATCGTACTTCTCCTCATAATGTTAACTTTGGCAGCATTATTAAAGAAAGAAATGCTTACTGGCACATCAAGCTCACTCCAGTTAATGATCTCAGGATTAAAATCTGACTGATTCCATGCCTGTACCATCTTCTCTGTGATATTGGATGGAGGTGAACACTGACATCTAAGAAAAAAACAAAACATTTAACATATAATATAATAAACATACTGTATAACATAAAACAATAAACAACAAGGTAAATATTTCCTTACGTGTAAAACGTGAGGTTGTCCAAATTGTCGTGCATGTTGAAAGGGAACATCTCCCCCAGCTGGAAGAGTTTCTCCAAGGCCTCATAGATGAAAATGATGCAGATGAGAGCAGCGAAGGCTTCCTCAGTGAATCTTGTTATATAGCACACTAGAGAGCTGGCGTCTGTGGCAACCAACACAATGCACAAGAAGGCCGTCCACAGGCCAATGCTAGTGCGCAGAGGGAGGTAGGACAGACCATAGTCACTGAGGAGAGACAAACAGATGTTATATATCACTATCTGGATAAAAGCATCTGCTAAATGAAGAAACAAATGTCTTCTGTGGGATTCACATAATCAGCAAAGTGTTTCTGTATAGAGAAGGGATAAAAGGACTTTTGAAAAACCAGGCAATTATGCATTTTTATTTATGTATTGCTGCACAAAAACATACAGACACTGATGGTTTTGGATAACAGCACAGTAGGATCAAAATGAGGCTATGCTGAACTTAAAATGTGTGTTGTATTCTCCAGAGTGCTCCACCAACTCTTTCCTGTACCAGTAGATGGCACTATGGTCCTTATAACAAAGTGTTTCTGTATAGAGAAGGGATAAAAGGACTTTTGAAACCAAGCAATTATGCATTTTTATTTATGTATTGCTGCACAAAAACATACAGACACTGATGGTTTTGGATAACAGCACAGTAGGATCAAAATGAGGCTATGCTGAACTTAAAATGTGTGTTGTATTCTCCAGAGTGCTCCACCAACTCTTTCCTGTACCAGTAGATGGCACTATGGTCCTTATAGTTTGAAAATCAACCTTTCACAAGAGGAAGCAATCAGAATTGTATTTAACTTTTTAAATTGTAGTTGACATGAAATGTCAACCATTGACTGCAATGTGACATGTTATACTTCAAATTTATATACTTCAACTTTTTTAAACAATAGTTAGTTAAAAGCCAATAATTTGACTGGACAAACAGCATTACAAGAGTGCTGATATTTCATAAAAATATCAGGGTGAAGTACTCAACATTCATTAATTTATAAGTTTGCAAGCTAAATAAAATAAAGGATCCAATTAATCACAATGATTTTCATTAGCTTGTTATTTGGCCAATAAGTTGGTACTGTAAGTTTGGTTTAATTCTGTGAGTCAGTTCAAACTGTTCATCTTAATTAATCATTTCATGGAATGTAATACTACAGCACAAATATATTTTATAAATAGTTTAAAGTGAAACAACTACATAAAGTAGTCACAAACCGTCCCAGTTTCTCAGCACAATTTCTAAAATGTGAGAATAACATATTAACGTAATGTAAAATGCATGAGGGACAGAATGAGAAACATTGTGACACTCTATTGAAAGTGAGACTCCCTCACCTACAGAACTTAAAAAGAATCTTCTCAAAAACTAGAACTGGCCCAGTGCTGCCCAGGATAGTGAGAGGCTGACCAGAAAACAGAGAGAAGGCCACACCGGTCAGTGAAGCACCAAACAGAGACTCAATGGCACTCTAAAACAAACATAGACAAAAGAGATGTTATCAACAATGTGGGAGAGTTTCAAACTAAGAATAAACACATTCTGTGGAAGCAGAAATTATATCTTTTAAGGCATACGGAAGGAGTATGCTCAATAAACACTCTTGATTCCAGTGAATCTGAATCATATTCAGACTGGCTGTTCCACTCGAGAGAATAATCCTCCATTACTCTTTCCAGACAGAGCCAAGACTGCAAGTCTGACTCACTATGTTGTTTTTGGTGGCTTCCCCCAGAAGGCCTCCGAAGGTGATGACGGGGGACATGCAGGCACAATAGAGGAAAAGGATGGAGGCCAGGCACTGCAGGCTGAAAGCGTCTCGCACGTCGCTCCAGTAAAACGGAGCTTTCCGCTTAACGTCTAACACCAGACCCCCAAATATCCTGTGATAAAGGAAGAAAATAAAAGGATAAAATTCAAAAATATTCTACCACAAAAGCAATCACATTTGGAGTTAAAAATTTTTACAGATGTTAATAAACGAATAATAATAATAATAATAATAATAATAATAATAATAATAATAATAATAATAATAATAATAATAATAATAATAATAATAATAATAATAATAATAATAATAATAATAATAATAATAATTTATATACTTCAACTTTTTTAAACAATAGTTAGTTAAAAGCCAATAATTTGACTGGACAAACAGCATTACAAGAGTGCTGATATTTCATAAAAATATCAGGGTGAAGTACTCAACATTCATTAATTTATAAGTTTGCAAGCTAAATAAAATAAAGGATCCAATTAATCACAATGATTTTCATTAGCTTGTTATTTGGCCAATAAGTTGGTACTGTAAGTTTGGTTTAATTCTGTGAGTCAGTTCAAACTGTTCATCTTAATTAATCATTTCATGGAATGTAATACTACAGCACAAATATATTTTATAAATAGTTTAAAGTGAAACAACTACATAAAGTAGTCACAAACCGTCCCAGTTTCTCAGCACAATTTCTAAAATGTGAGAATAACATATTAATGTAATGTAAAATGCATGAGGGACAGAATGAGAAACATTGTGACACTCTATTGAAAGTGAGACTCCCTCACCTACAGAACTTAAAAAGAATCTTCTCAAAAACTAGAACTGGCCCAGTGCTGCCCAGGATAGTGAGAGGCTGACCAGAAAACAGAGAGAAGGCCACACCGGTCAGTGAAGCTCCAAACAGAGACTCAATGGCACTCTAAAACAAACATAGACAAAAGAGATGTTATCAACAATGTGGGAGAGTTTCAAACTAAGAATAAACACATTCTGTGGAAGCAGAAATTATATCTTTTAAGGCATACGGAAGGAGTATGCTCAATAAACACTCTTGATTCCAGTGAATCTGAATCATATTCAGACTGGCTGTTCCACTCGAGAGAATAATCCTCCATTACTCTTTCCAGACAGAGCCAAGACTGCAAGTCTGACTCACTATGTTGTTTTTGGTGGCTTCCCCCAGAAGGCCTCCGAAGGTGATGACGGGGGACATGCAGGCACAATAGAGGAAAAGGATGGAGGCCAGGCACTGCAGGCTGAAAGCGTCTCGCACGTCGCTCCAGTAAAACGGAGCTTTCCGCTTAACGTCTAACACCAGACCCCCAAATATCCTGTGATAAAGGAAGAAAATAAAAGGATAAAATTCAAAAATATTCTACCACAAAAGCAATCACATTTGGAGTTAAATTTTTTTACAGATGTTAATAAACTAATAATAATAATAATAATAATAATAATACACGTTGTATATACAAGGTATATACAGGAATCATGGAGTTAAATTTAATAAGACTCTTTCCATACATTTTAAGACCTCATCACCACTCCAAGTTTTAACCATTACATCGGCGACACTTTAACTTACATTTACTATATATTAATTGTAAGATAGCACAACTAAACAGACTTACTTTGTGATAACTCCTTATCAATACAACATAATTCAGAAGGGGGAATGAAGCACAAGATAATTAATTGAGTGACTAACCAATGCAACCCAAAAAACAAGAATTAGACCAATAAACAAAACAACTGACAAAACTTATTAAGGAGGGAAAATAAAGCTCTCTGAGCTAACGGGGCAA